CCTCCCTCCTCTCTCCCCCTCTCCTCCCTCCTCTCTCCTCCCTCCTCCTCCCTCCTCTCTCCTCCTCCCTCCTCTCTCCTCCCTCCTCCTCCCTCCTCCCTCAGTCTGCAGCACACCTGAGCAGGAGGGGGATTAAAAGGAGCAGGTAGAGGAGAGAGGTGGGCCACACACACTCTAAATGTTATTATTTTGGTTTTGGAGGCATCTAGTCTCCACCTCCTCATGTGTCTCTCAAGTGAAGGCAGAATACCCCCTCGATGGGCGCTGGCAAATTGCTGCCAAGGTTTCCCTCGCTCCTCTCCAGCTCCACCCTCTCGTCCAAATATGGTCACTTCCTTTAACTGAACATTTTATATTTAAATATGAATCGCCATCTGCTCAGAGCTTTTTTTTTGAGGATTTATTTTGGGGCTTTTTATGTCTTTATTAGAGGGACAGGACAGTGAATAGAGTCGGAAATCAGGGAGAGAGAGAGAGAGAGAGAGAGAGAGAGTTGGGAATGCCATGCCGGAAAGAAGCCATAGGACAGAAGCTTGCCCCCTCCAAGGGCTACTGCCTCTGTACATGTGGCGTGCATACTTCCTGCTAGACCACAGACGCCATGTCTCAGAGCTTCCTTTAAACCCTGAACAAGTCATAATTCAGGTTCCTAGTGTAGCAACCTTGTCAATCCCAGGTAGCCCCGCCTTGACTCCTCCCATCTTTCTGGTCTATGATTTACTAAATGAACATCAAGCTGATCTATATGGCATCATCATGTGTTGAAGAAGACTGACACTAAAGATTAAGACCATAAACTTTTTACTGAGAGAATAAACCGAATGAGGAGGAACATTTCATCATAGACTTAAGAAACCTAACAACTCCAACAATCCTCCATGAATCTAAAGGAAGCAAAGACATGAATGTTTATTATTAACCAACCTGCAGTGCACAATGATTGGTCCAGGGCCTGGGACGTCGTCTGTGATTGGCTGAGAGCTGGGTGGAGGGAGGAGAGACTTTCTGTACATCTCCACCTCCTCCACCAGTCTCAGCAGAGGAGCGGTGCATTGTGGGATGTGGTGGTCAGGCCAAGAGGTGAACCAGTAGTGTCTGACGTGACGACGTTCTGCACACAGCTGCAAACACAGACACACACACACACACACACACACACACACACACACACACACACACACACACACACACACCATGTTTTACAACAGTGCAGTTGCACTCAGAGACCTTTGGTGGGCGCCAAAGTGCACTAAACTAAATGACTAAATATTGCTGCTTTAAGTACCCAAAGAAAAAATACTGATCGTGCACATTGGCTCATATCTGAATAATTGGTTTTATACTCTGGATTACAGCGATCGCTTAGAACTCAAACTTCAATTTAGTTTGTTTTTAATTTGAAATTATTACTAAATTAAGTAAATAAATATAGTGGAGAGGATAAAGAAGGCAGCAGAATCATTAAATTCTCATAATAATATAGCTGTGCGTGTAAAAATATACTGAAGTACATTTTCTGTACCTGGATCTCCATGTCAGTGACAGTGAACCCGTCTTTCTCTCGGCTGTCGGTCACTCTCAGGACAAATCTCCCAAATTGACTGGTGTCCCCCCCCTCCTCCTCCTCATCTTCTTCTTCCTCCTCCTTCAACCTCCTCCTCCGCTCCCTCGGCTGTGGCCAGTACAGCTCACATTTCTGAAATGAAACAGAGGAGTTCAGCATCTGCAGTCAAAAAGGAGCTAAGGAGAAGAGGGACGGTCCTCCTCACCTCGTTGTTCTCCTTGAGTCTGGTAACCATGACGATGATGCTGCTCCTCTCCTGCCACACCATGTCCCAGAAGTCCCCGACAGTGTGCAGCATCGGCCCCTGGGTGGCAATGTAGGCCTTGGGAGCTCCTTTATAACCCTGCAGCACAGAGAGAGGAGGTCAAGACGAGAACAAGCAGAATCATACAGTCCTTGTTAATAAAAAATAAAGCTAATTCAGTTCCTTTAGTGTCCACTAGAGGCTGTCTGCTGCACCAAGTCCAACTTAAAAATACAAACGACGTCCACAGGGGAGCAAAACATGGTCATAGCTGCTTTAACTACTAATTATAGTCTGTCTACAAACCCCCCAATGATGAGAAAAGTCCATCCTCTTCGTCTTCTGCCTGCTCCACTTTTCAGAAAATGTGTGCTCAAACAGGCCGTTTGGAGATTTTCCCTTCATGACATCACAAAGGGCAGTAGCCCCTCCCCCAGGTGGGTGACACTCCCACAGCTAGGTGTTTGTTCTGCCCTCTGAGTCTGCCTTCTCACCGTAAACAATAGGACATGGAGCAAGAAAGACCGAGTACAACCAAGCCCTTCCAGAGAGGGGGCGTGGTCAGACACAGCTCATTTACATATTTAAAGGTACAGACACAGAAACAGCCTGTTCTGAGCAGGGCTGAAATAGAGGGGTTTATAGACATGATCAAATACAGGATCAGAGTGGATTTAGAACAAGAAACTTCACACACATGTTTTGAGGAGCTCTGACACTTCTTTACACTGAAGAAGAAGAGGAGGATATGTGACCTTTAAAGTAAATATTTAATGTTTAATTGGGATGCTTTTATTGAAAAAGTCTGTAAAAATTCTTACATTACTAATTTGTGCAAAATATATAAAAACAAAAAAAATGTAACTGCTCGTGATGACGAATGTTCACTTGTTGTTTTCAGGTCACTGAATGCAGAAAGACGATGTTATCCCCTTTGAAGCTGAAACCACACTACTTCCTCGACCTCAGATAACGCTAAAGTGAGAGATGAAGACTGTTCTGTTCGTCAACAACAACGACCGCAAAGTGTCCAAACAACAAGATAAATATATGTACATTTATTATGAATGTGAATAAATTCATGCATGTTGTGGTTTGTTGTTGTTTAACACACACACAAACACACACACAAACACACACACACACACACACACACACACACACA